GTGCCGAAGCCGTGCGTAACACCCTCAGCCTCATGCATTCTTGCGGCATGTATGACTTCTCTGGCCAGTTTGCCTTCCACGTGAGTGTTCCCAGCTCTGCCATCCCAGGGCCACGAAGAGAGGATGGGGTGAAACTTACTCCTGCCTCCTTCACAGACATCTAGCCAGGCAAACAGGCTAAGAATCCTTAGGGGAATTTGCCAAATACATCACATTCCTCAGATCTATTGACCCTTTACATAGCTGACTCCCATCTTAGATGTTATTCCAAGGAGAGGCAGGACTGATTTGTTTGTAGCCTCAAACTCCCAGTGATCCTCCTGCCTCAACCACAGTCATACACTCCCACACCTGGACTTTTTCTTTGTTTGATTTTCATTGGGGATCAAACCTAGGTCTGACCCATGCTAGGCAAGTGCTGGACCCCCTGAACTGCATCCCAGGCCCTGGGGATGTTTTGATTGCTGTGTCTCAGACAGAACTGTCTCCACCTCTGCTCAGAGCACCCTAGTCCTTTTCTTTTCTGTATTTGCTATAATTAAAGCAAATTTAAAGACTTTTTTTATTATGGGGGATCCCCACAGAAGCTAGAGTTTCAGATGGTTGTGAGTCTGCCAGTTTTGGTGTTTGGAACTGAACATGGCTTCTTTTCGAGAACAATGCAGGCTCTTAATCACTAAGCCACTTTTCCAGCCCCTCCCCGACTCCTTTTAAAGTATTTTATTTTTTTAAATCCCAGCACTTGGGAGGCAGAGGCAGGTAGATCTCTGTGAGTTCAAGGCCAGCCTGGTCTCCAGAGTGAGTTCTAGGACTGACAGAGCTACATGGAGAAAACTTGTCTCAAAAAAAAAATTTTTTTTTTTTTAGTTACATGTATGGGTGTTTTTTCTGCATGTATGTCTGTGTATTGTGTGCATACAGGTCAGAAGAGGGTGTAAGATCTTCTGGAACAGGAGTTATAGATAGTTGTGAACTGACAACTGCCATGCCAGTGTTGAGAAACAAAACCCCGGTCTTCAGTAACCACTGAGATATCTTTCCAGCCCCCATGTCCCATTTTTAAATTTTAAAAATGTATTTATCATCAGTGTATGTGTATGCATGATGGTACATGTGTGGAGGCCAGAGGGCAGCTCTGTGGAGTTTTTTCTCTCTGTCCACTTTTGTGGGCTGTGGGGATCAAACTCAGGTTGCTAGACTTGAACAGGAAGCAACTTTACCTGATAAGCCATCCTGTAAGCCCCCATTTGTTTTTTTGTCTGTGTCCTTACCACCAGAGTAAAAGGTGAATGAAAGACATTTCCTGGGGCTGGAGAGATGGCTGGGTGTTTAAGATCATTTGCTGCTTTGGGATAGGACCATCTGGAACTCTGTTCCAGGGAACCCACTACCCTCTTGTGTCCTCCACGGGCACTGGGCACACAGGCAGGGCACATATACACACTCATCTGTGGGCTGGAGAGCATTTCCTAGTTTGAGCACAACCCCCAGCAGAACGCTGCTTGTATCATTGCCAGCAATCCCTTCTCCCACAGGGTAGGAGAAGACAGCAGTCAGAGGCAAATTAAAAAGCTGAGAAGTTTGTGCATTAGAGTGGCCTCAGCCGGGTGTTGGTGGCGCACGCCTTTAATCCCAGCACTCAGAAGGCAGGCTATAAAACTCTCTTTCCAGGCAGGCCCCCAAAGCCCCAAGAAAACCCCCCCCCCAAAAACACAAAAAAAAAACACCCACCAAAAAAAAAAAAAAAAAAAAAAAAAAAAAAAAAAAAAAAAAAAAAAGAGTGGCCTCATATATATTTTCCCAGTCACACCAGTGTCTTTAGTGGAGCTTGTTCTATATGGAGAGATACCTTGCTCAGCCTAGACACGGGTGTGGGGGTGGAGAGGTACCTTGGTCCTGCCTCAAGGAGATGATGGGACAGACTTAGTAGACTACCTAGGGGAGACTACCCTCTCCAAGGAGCAGATGAGGGGGGAGTGGAAGGAGAAGAGTGAGGGGGAACTGGGATTGGAATGTAAAAAATAAATTAATTAATTAATTTTAAAAAATACCTGAGAAATTGAGGTGAGTTATAGCCTAGTCCGTGCCATCACTTAGACTAGCCCACCTTGTTCCTCAGGTGGGTCTGCCAGCCAAGTCAGCTGTGTCAGGAGCCATCCTCCTGGTTGTACCCAATGTCATGGGGATGATGTGTCTATCACCTCCGTTAGACAAGCTGGGGAACAGCCAAAGGGGCATCAACTTCTGCCAGGTAAGGTGTTCTGCGTATAGTACTTCACATTGTTTAAGAATAAATTTTTTTTCTTTTTTTTTTAAGATTTTATTTATTTATTATGTATACAGTCTTCTGCCTGCATGCAGATCTCATTCAAGGTGGTTGTGAGCCACCATGTGGTTGCTGGGAATTGAACTCAGGACCTCTGGAAGAACAGTCAGTGCTCTTAACCGCTGAGCCATCTCTTTAACCCCCTAAGAATAAATTAATGAGCCGGGTAGTGGTGGCGGCACACACCTTTAATACCAGGAGGCAAAGGCAGGTGAACTCTGTGAGTTCAGCCTGGTCTACTGAGCGAGTTCCAGGACAGGCTCCAAAGTTACAGAGAAACCCTGTCATGAAAAACAAAAACAAAACAAAATAAAAAAAAACCAAAATAAATAAATCACTAAATTAATTAATTAATGGTAACCACTATAATTAAAGCAATTTTGAGCTCCTAGAAGAGTCGAGGCATAAGTAAACAATCCCTCTGGCTTCTAATTCTAGAAGCTGGTGTCTCTCTTTAACTTCCACAACTATGACAACCTGCGACACTGTACTCGGAAGTTAGACCCACGACGGGAAGGAGAGGAAGTCCGGGTAAGGAAAACCCTGGGTAGCCTAAAGGATGTTTCAAAATAAAACATCCCATGATGCTTCAGCAATGTCCTTGGTGAAGCATCCATAGAGGAGGGCATGGACAGAGCTGGGCATGGTTGGATTCAAAGCCACAATTAATCCCAAGTGGATACAACGTGTGTTTCAGAACAAGACCGTGGTGAACCTGTTATTTGCTGCATATAGTGGAGACGTCTCAGCTCTTCGAAGGTACTTCTACTGTGAATAAATAAAATGATAAAATACTCTGGGTCAGACATCTTATTAATCAGGACACAGCATAGCAAACTGCTAAACACCTCAGTTTCAGAGTTAGAACGGATAGATTGCAATTTAAATGAGTGCATGTCTCTGTGTGTGTGTGTGTGTGTGTGTGTGTGTGTGTGTGTGTGTGTGTGTGTTACCTGTGTACATGTGGCTGTTTGTGCAGCTTCACATTTGTGGGTATGTGTGCATGTGGCAGCCAGAGAAAGACAGCTTCAGGTGTCATTCCTAGGGGGCCATCCACTTTGCTTTTTGAGATAGTGTCTCACTAGCCTTGAGCTCACCAACATATCAAGTCCCAGGACTTCCCTGTCTGTGTCCCACCCAGTCTGGGATCACAGGCGAGTGTTACCATGCCTGTTTTGTTTTGTTTTATTTTGATATGGGTTGTATCAATCAAACTCAGTTCTCAGGTCCGTATGCTTGCCCCTCAAGGACTTGACTGAGCCTTCTCGGCAGCCTTAGGATCTGTTTGCTGTTTTGAGAACTTAACTAAAGCAAGCTGAAATAGCTCAGTTGGGGGAGCGCTGGACTGAAGAATTTAACTAACGGCAGGCACTGTCACTGACCTGGGTATAACAAGCTTAGTCCTTGGAAGTGGGGAGTCTGCCACAAATGGATGATCAATATGAACCCATCCAGTCCGGCCCCACTTTGGAATGCTGTCTGGTGATGGTAGACGGATGTGGGTAACCCATGCTGCTTTCCACTACCTCAGGTTTGCTCTGTCAGCCATGGATATGGAGCAGAAAGACTATGATTCCCGCACGGCCCTGCATGTTGCTGCAGCTGAAGGTATTTAAAGGGTTAAAGAGGAAAAGCAGTGTGAGACCCCTCCTTTTCCACCAAGTACCCCTACCTGCCCCCTATTGTTGTAATTGCAAAGGGCAATGGCCAGTTTTGTCTACAGGCCCATAGGCTGACAGATTGTAACTAGGTGCTGACAAGGACTTTTCTCCTCCCCTCTTGGCCCAGACCCTTGCCACCAAGGGCCTACACCAAATGGTTCAGGACCTACCTGTGTACTCTTCTCATTTTCCCTTCTACCCCTATTCTTAGGACACGTTGAGGTTGTCAAATTTCTGATCGAGGCTTGCAAAGTGAATCCTTTTGTCAAGGATAGGTGAGTACCGTTTCCTACCGCCCTGCAGCCATACACATGCAGCCGTGGCACTCTCTGTGTCTTCTATGCCTAACCGTGATCCTTGTTCCTCACAGGTGGGGCAATATTCCCCTGGATGATGCTGTACAGTTCAACCACCTAGAGGTGGTCAAGCTGCTTCAAGATTACCATGACTCCTACATGCTCTCTGACACTCAGGCAGAGGAAGCAGCTGAGACCCTGTCCAAAGAGAACTTAGAAAGCATGGTGTGAGCCCAGGCTGGGGGCAGTCCCTGCTCAAGAAAAAGCATGAGCTGGCCATACATCTAACGCACAGCCACTAAAAAATTCTATGGGAAGCTGCTTCGGTGGGGATCAACACAGCCATTTGGTGACACAGGCCAGTGTTTTCTGTGAAGATCAAAACACCCCATTCCCCCAGTAAACAGCACACAGAAGATCCTCAGTGGACACCCACATAGAGCTATCCACAGACACCTGAAGGTATAGTTTAACGGCTTCATCCTCTCAAAAGTAGCCCAGGTCTTTACCCAGGTCCCCTTTTTCCTCTCTGAAGAAATCATTGTGAGAACAAGAGACTTCTTGGAGAGACTCTCGCCACCATGCATATGTATCCGCCACAGAGGGGGCAGAAGCGGGTGGGAGCCAAGGCACCTGGCTTTAGAAGTCTGCAGAGATCCGTCCCCTTAGCAGGGCATGCTGCCATTGCTGACAGCAATTTTATAGACAGAGAAGGTATTTTGTGTTCAAATAAACTTTAATTAGATGAATTTTTCTTTCTTTGCTAAATCTAGTCATTCTCTTTCTCCCCTAAGGATATCCATCATAGATAATAGAATAAGACAGAACCATGGGGACAGACAGTCCAAACGATACATATCACACATACATATCCATCTATTCCACCAGGTTTCCCTCAACCCCAAATACTGCTTTAATTAAGTATATTCTGTGGCCAAGGGGGGTGGGGTGGGAATTTGGGGTCTGAACAGGCTCCAAAATGGGTTATATAGCACTCTCCTCTTCTCTGAAGCTCCCAACTGTGGCAGATGTGTAGATGGAACTTCTCAAAGGTAAGAGTTTCTGGCACTACAGCCCTACATAGCCCCCTAGTGTCTCTTCCCCTTTGGTCACAGCTGTAACTGGCACATTGGTTATGACAAACTGGCTGGGTATCAGAGGTGTGCAGGAGAAAGCAGACGGACTCAGAATGCCATAGCTGCATCTGCGTAGGACCGACGTTTGTGGTGCTGACCTACTGAGTCAATCCAACAATGAGGGGGCCAGAACCCAAGAATCTGAGGTGCATCAGAGAAAAGGCCACCCACTCCTGCAGCCAGAGGTAGAAAGCATTTACTCAGGAGAAGCTGGTAAACCCCCAAAACAAGTTACACAGTGGGTAAGGGGAAGGAGAGGTAGTGGCTGAAACACAGGACCAGGACTGAGCAGTCTAAGACACGTGGGCACAAGTAGAGGGACCTGATGCTCTAGGGAACTGGCAGTCATGTGAGGACAAAGTTTGGCTGTATACCTAGCTTTCACAGAGTAGGGACCAGAGGAAGATGACTAAAATATTGCACAAGGGCTCCCAACTGAATTGTGAGAGCTACCACTTGCTTGAGACAATGTAAAACAGCGTTAGACCCCTTGAACAGAAAGCATGATTAAGGGACTTAGGCCGCATTAGAGCCCCTTGGGCACTTCTAGTCCTGAGTGGGTTAGCAGCTCTCCATCCCAAAGAGCAAACGCAGGCGTCACTGGGCCGCGGAAATCCGTTTGTAGTGTGTGGACCACGGCGATCTGACTCACATCCACCAGGCTCAGCTTCTTTGCCTCATAGTCCAGCAGCAGCCCCACTTTCTCTGGTTGCCCAATACCCTCAATCGGGGCTTTCTCGTTGGCCAACATGCTGTGCCACTTGCGCTGGGCATAGGAGAACACCCAGGAGCGATCGTCAGCACCGACGCAGCTGTCCCGGGACATGTCCACATCTGCCACTCCTATCCGGAACTGCTGGGAGCGCTTCACTGTGACCTCCCAGTAGTGTCGGCCACTGGTGACCGGGGTGTCTGCGAGCACCACTGCCCACTCCCGGAAGCGCTCCAAGTTCAGGGCCACCTTGGTGGGTTCCAGTCCCACCAGGCCGTATTTGACACCTGTGTCACCTTTAAAGAGTGCCAGGCTGCTGTGGGCAGTTTTTTCTTCCAGTTTGAAACTGATGCCTGAGGGCAGAGCCAAAAAAACGAAAGAAAAGAGAAAGAATGGGTGGCAGGTTAGAAACCTAGGTCTGGTTTTTGATCGGAAGAGATGATGGGAAACCGGGAGAAGCCAAATGTTAAGATACCAAGATAGAGCTGTCGCTTTAATATAGCAGCCCCGGGAGCTGCAAATGACGGCCGAGTTGGGGGTGGGGAGAGCCCCAGATCGGTGCCCCAAGTTTGGAATCTTGCTAGCCCAGGGCAGACTGGGGAGAAGAAAGGAGGGGCAAAGTTCTCTGAGCGCGCCCTGGGAATAACACGTTAACTCCTTTGGAGTGAAAGAGTGAAAAGAAACCACCCTACCTCTCCGGGCGTCCCCGGCAGGGACCCCCCAGCGCTTGGCTCCCCAGCGGTACGAGTTCCAGCAGCGTGCAAAGGGCAGCGCCATCTTGGGCCCCTGATGTACCGGACCACGCCCCCGCCGGGGAGACCGACCAATAGCTGGCAGGCGTCGGGACCACGTGGGCAGGCCGCGTCTGCGTCGGTGATGGCTATCTAGTCCTGGGATACCCGGTCTCCCTAATCACAGAGATCCGACTGTCGCTGCCGCCCGAGTGCCGGGATTAGCGGCATGGCTTGTGCTCGTTATTTTTTAATGTATAAGTGAACGTGAAGGGAGGGATTTTACTTTCTATTTATTTTTTAGAGTGCAGTTACTCGTTCTCTCCACCAGGGCGCGGTCAGGCCCAGCCTTTTAATCTACTTAATCTCAGAGGGGCATTTTGTTAACTTTTTTTTTTTTTTTTTCTGATTACAAAGCTACTTTTAATACTTGGAGGGATAAAAAACAGGAAAAGGGTAGCCTCACCTCCAGGGGTGGCCCAGGGGGAGAGAGGCTACCTGAGGGGAAGGAAGCACGAAAGGGACAGGAATGCCATCAGAGTTGGGGCCTGTGAGCTGGCTCTCCAGAGAGAAACAGTAGCATGGTGGGGCTGGCTCTGGGCACATAGGCAAAGGGCCAGGGGGTTGGCCACGAAGCCACCAAACTACTCGGGTTCCTTCTCCTGGTCCTTTCTCCGCTTCTGCTGCACGACCTCCGAGTCCCCCCGCCTGCCCACCGTCAAGTCCCTCTGCTTCTTCTGGTTCATGGCGAGCTCGCGCTTGGCAATCGCTCCTTCTGGTTTGCTGACTTTTAAACCCAGGAGCAGAAATGTTGAGGGAATCTCCTCCTCAGAAGCCCTGCTCTGCTCTGCCAATGCTTTGGGTTTGGGTAGTGAAGAGAGAACTGTTTCAGAACAGGGTCTCTGTAGGACTTGTACTTTATCCTGGCTTGAGGGCTGAAGCGCCCATAGGCTTCGCAGTCACTCAAGACACGCCTCCTTTTCCTTCCCTTTCCATCCTTTCTCTTCCCTTCCTTTCTTCTCCCCACCCTCTCGTTCTGTCTTATCATGATCACTGAGTTGTATTCCTAGTCCTTTTTGCATATTTTTTGTTTTAAATTGGAGACAAGGTCTCACCAAGTTGGCCTTGGAACTCACACTGTATGTAGCCTAGGCAGTATTTGAACTATGGATCCTCCTGGCACAGCCTCCTGAGTAGCTGGGATTATCGGAACAGAATGGAGTACTTCAGGGCCCATAAGGAACACAATGTTGCCAGAGAGTTGGGCTGAGGGGATGGTAGAATAGTTGAAAAGTTGAGGCCCAAGTCATAAATAATCACATATGTTATGAGGAAATTTAAACCACTCTTTCAGATATTCAGGAGCTGTTTAAGGCAACATGGGAATGATAAATTATATTCTCATGCAAAGGCAAAGTTGGAAGCATCACGGAGCATGAGTGGGGTTGGGGGTGAGAGGGGATGAGATGAGAAACAGAGAAGCAGGATTTAGGCCACCAGAGATCTTACAGAAGACATGGTCTGACCCAGCTATGTAAGAGGTGGATGGGGAGGGAAAGGCGATGTGGAATTAGTTAAGTTTAGGGAAGCTGTCTATGGGACAGCCATGTGAAAATGTTCTATAGCTGTGTGGTTACCCCTGGCTGTTCTGGAACTAGCTTTGTATAGACCAGGCTGGCCTTGAACTCACAGAGATCCACCTGCCTCTGCCTCCACCACTCTGCTTGCTAACTGATCTTGTTGGTCTGATCTTGTGCAGGTCTTGTGTAGATAACCATAGCAGCAGTGAGTTCACAGTCATGTCCAGAAGATGGCACAGCACTCTTCCCCATACTCCAGCTCTTATATTCTTTCTGCCTTCTCTTCCATGAAGTTCCCTGAGCCTTGAGTGATGGGATATTGCACCTGGCCAATCTATGAGTATAAACATAAATTTTTCAATTAAAGCTTGACAACATGTCTTTTTCTTTTCTTTTTTCTTTTTTTTTTTCAAAACGACAGTAGTAATTTCCCTCCTAGGTTCTTTTACCTCACCAGGCTTTTGACCTGGTTTACAATACTAGGCATGACTTTCTTCCTATAAAGTAGGCCTCAAATCCAGTTCCAAAGTAGGTGGTTGTCCCTACAACATTCATGTCCCACAACTATTGCACCAGAGGGCACACTGTGCCTGGCAGGTCTATTTGCCAATAAATAATATCACTGGTGGCTTTTCTCTGTCTTAGCATCTCTGGCACTATGATATCTAGCCAGTGGGGAGGAAATTTCAGATCAGTTCCACTAGATTTCTCTGTGTCCTTCAACAAGTGTTCAGCAGTAGAGTCTTACCAGTTAGTTCTGGTAGACAACTAAAGCAATGGCAATAGCTTGGTTTTTTTTTTTTTTCGGGGGGGGGGCGCTCTGGGACCTCACTGATCAATAATCATAGGAGGGCATGCACTAAGGTTTTCATTTAATAACTCATACCTTCTTCGAAAAGCATGTCCACCCAAGCACCGTACCTGTGTTCAACATACCCCCTCCTTTCATTCATTTTCTTTTCCTTCCTTCCTTCCTTCCTTCCTTCCTTCCTTCCTTCCTTCCTTCCAAACAGGCTGTGTAGCCCCGGCTGCCCAGGAACTTGCTGGCTTTGAACCCAGAAATCTACCTGCCTCTGCTTCTTGAGTGCTGGGATTAAAGGCATGTGTCAACCCTGTCTGGCTTTTATTTTATTTTATTTTATTTAAGATGTATTTATTTGGGCCAGGGAGATGGCTCAGAGGTTAAGAGCACTGCCGTTCTTCCAGAGGTCCTGAGTTCAATTCCCAGCAACCACATGGTGGCTCACAACCATCTACAATGAGATTTGGTGCCTCTCTTGGCATGTAGGCTACCATGCAGACAGAACACTGTGTACATAATAAATAAATCTTAAAAAAAAAAAAGATGTATTTATTTGTTGCCGGGCAGTGGTGACACAAGCCTTTAATCCCAGCACTCGGGAGGCAGAGGCAGGTGGATCTCTGTGAGTTCGAGACCAACCTAGTCTACAAGAGCAAATGCTAGTTCCAGGACAGCCAGGGCTACACAGAGAAATCCTGTTTTGAAAAACAAAACAAGGGGCTGGGAAGATGACTCAGAGGTTGAGAGCACCGACTGCTCTTCCAGAGGTCCTGAGTTCAATTCCCAGCAACCACATGGTGGTTATGAGATCTGGTGCCCTCTTCTGGTGTGCAGATATACATGGAAGCAGAATGTTGTATACGTAATAAATAAATAAAATTAAAAAAAAAGAAAAACAAAACAAAAAAGTATTTACTATGAATACAATGTTCTGCCTGCCTGTATGCCTGTGGGCCAGCAGAGGGCATCAGATCTCATTATAGATGGTTGTCAGCCACCACATGGTTGCTGGGAATTGACCTCAGGACCTCTGTAAGAGCATTCAGTGCTCTTAACCTCTGAGCCATCTCCCCAGCCCAATTCTGAGTTTTAATAGGGGATAGCAATATGTGAAGGGACACCTAACAAAATGCTCAGAGCATGGGCATGTCTGGTCAGGGGTTGTATTTGGCTCACTGGAAAAGAGAAAAGAAGGGCACAAACAAGAGAGACTAACCCCTTGGTTACCCTGTGACTTGGATTACATGTTGCATTTCAAAATACATAGGGTCCTGGTCCAGTCCAAGTGCTAATTGGAGCCCTTGACTGTAGATGGGAGAGGGGTGATGAGCTGGGAGCTTGGTGATTGTTCTAGACTATGCCAGGAGTCAGCAGTCAGCAAAGCATAACCAGAGAAATCGAGAGAAGGGGGGTGGCCTCAGGAGCTAGCCAAAGGGGCTGCTGGGCTGGCTGGCTTGTGTTATGTTGGGGCCTTTGTCCTACTGAAATTGTCCACACAATGGAGCTGGGTTGCATGCTGACATGGCACTCTGAATGTGATCTAGGATAGAGAGAGTCTACATGATGGAAACAGAAAGGAATGGCCACCTGTCCCCGAGGGCCACATCTCTCCACTCATGAATATTGAACTCACCAGAGAGTTTGTTGTCTACATGATAAACACAGGTTATGTTAATATATAATTAATTCACAAATCAATTAATTTTCATTTTGCTTTAAGATATCATATGTAGTAGGCTGGAGATGTTGCTCAGTAGAGTGTTTGTCTGTCATGCATCCCCAGTGATGCATGAACAGTACAGACCTGAATCACAGTACTCAGGGGGTGGAGGTAGGAGGTCCACAAGTTTAAAGTTGCCCTCTGTTGCATGGTAAGTTTGATGCCAGCCTGAGACATTGGAGACATACTCTCAAAAAATATATATACTATTATGATCGACAGTATTATAAAGGTGGTGCACATTTTTCATCCCAGCATTCGAGAGGCAGGCAGGAGTATCTCTGAGTTCAAGGCCAGCCTGGTGTACACAGAGAGTCAGAGCCTGGTGTACATAGAGAGAACCTGTCTAAAAGAAAAGTTGTGATAAAGGCCATGCATACTAGTGCACACTTGGGAGTCAGAGGCAGGACGTTCATGAGCTTCTGCTGCATAGCAAGTCTGAGATAAGTCTGAGCCGCAGACTTCAGTGTTAGTTTCAAACTAACAGTGGCTGGAGATATGGCTCACTGGCTAAGAGCACTTGCTGCACCATGCTGAGTTTGGACTCCAGAACCCAGGTAACAGCCTGGCATGGTCTTGCATCGCTGTGAGGAGCAAAGACAGAACAATCCGTGGGGCTTGCTGACTGCAAACCTATCTGGGAAAAGAAACAAAACCAAGTGGCAGCCCCACGTTCAGGAAGAGACACTCTCTCAAAAAATAAAAATAGAGTACTTGCCGCTCTGCTAGAGGACACATGAGTTCTGTTTCCAGAACCCACAGGTAGCTCACAATTGCCTGAGACTCCAGCTCCAGGAGACATGAGGCCTCTGGCTTCCCAGGACAACTGCACTCACACATGCCTACACATTTAAAAATAATAAAAACAAATCTTTAAAACAAAAACCTTTAAGACTGAATGCGGTGGTGCCTGTACCTAGGAGGTAGAGGGAGAAGGCTTAAGAATTCAAGCCTAGTTTTGTCCACATAGACATCCTATCTCAAAAAAAAAAAAATTAAATAAGCAAGAAA